ATCCCATAATTGTTAATCTAAGTATTTCTCTTACCGGAGAAAAGTTCTGGACATCTTACTTCTCTGGCAGGCTACATTGTGACTCTCTGTGTTTCTCCTACCCAAAGTCCTCCTTGGACTCCTAGTCCCACCTATCTTGCTTCCCTATTGGCCAACAGTGCTTTATTGACATATACACAGGATTTCCCCATCAGTAGAGTTTTACATCATTATATCTCAAATCAGTACTGTTAGTTCACGGCTTACAAATCAAATCTTCTGAGGAATTAAAGGAAAATGTGAATTTTAGACCATGAGCAATGAACTACATAGGTGTTCATGTAGTTATTGCACTACTGGATTGGTTATTGCACTATATTTGTGAGAGCAAAGATGGAGTTAGTGGAAAGTTGGGAATAATCTAGTTTTGACTCCAAACGGCTCTCTCTACTAACTGTATAAACATGTATGGGTTATTTAACTTTTGGAGGTATCCTTTTTTTTATTTGGAAAATGAATCAAGTGGGTAAGAATGAGAGGGAATTTGGAAGCAGCTGAACTAGTGCTAGCACATAGTCGATAATCTCTGCATTCATTGGTCTTCTGTCTTGTAGATGTGTTTAAGTGGAGGCAGGGCTATTGGAGAACAGGGGTGGGGCAGATTGAGTGATGTACCAGGTGACCCTGAGAGATATTTTCAATCTTAGTGATGTTTCTGACAATGGGTGTGCTCGCCTTGTTGTCACCATACTGTTTTGTGTTCAGCTTGTATTTTAGTGTGGTGTGTGTGTGTGTGTTTGCCATGTTTTGGACTCTGCCGTGTTCTTTGTGAACAAATCACAAGGATCTAAGCATGTCATGGGTGAGGAGGGAGGGGTATGTTCACCTACTTCCTGTCTTTTTCTTACTGTGTCTTTCAGTATGCCGTCACCTTCAGTCTAAATGTCTCTGTCCATATTGACTCTGCTCACCAACCAACGCCCATGCTTTTTTTTTTGTTATCAGATCTCTCTCTAGTCTCCCAAGTATCACTCGCTCTGAGAGCTGTTGTGAGCTAAATGAATCAGTATATGAAGTCAGGTAGAACAGTCTCTCAGCGTTAGGCATTTATGAGTTTTATTTGTCATTTTATCTGCCCAATTCCCCTCTGGGTTGGAGTTTATCTCTCTGAGTCTGTTACCTTTTGTTCACGTTCTTTTTGGACAAGATGTTCCATGGCTGTCTCTGAAGAAGATCAAAAGCATCAGATCAGGGATATGAAACTTGGTATTTAGATTATAAAGTCAGCATCGAAAGTGACCTTTGCTAGGTGAGAAACAGCAAGACTACATACAACAGGCACACAACACACACCAAATTTCTGATAAATAAAATGACATCGGGTTTATAATTGGTTATATTTATTTGGTCATGCTGTCCCTATCTTTAAAGGCATTGACCCCAGCTTGTATATATAACATATAAGATATCAGAAACTAAAAGGAACCCTGCTGAGAGAGAGTGAGTGCATTTGTATGCAATCACATTTTCTCCCTTGTTCTCCAAACAACTCAGTTTACTTCTAACAAGAACATCGGAGAAAATTTCTTACCAAGGAAGAGTGACCTTTAAAAGGAAATACCTGACAGCCAGATAAACTGCACACCATTTACAGAGGGATTCAGTGGAATTTACTCCATCTATTTCCCTGGTCCCCAGAGGACATTATTCATTCTGGAAGGGCACAGCTGATTGAAGGAAGATGCTTGGATCAAAAGAAGTAATGCTTTGAACTGTGTTTATGGGGAAGTGTCTAGACCTCTGGATTCTGGTCTATAACTGGAGACAGTTGGGTTTAAAGGAAACTTATGTGTCAAGCAGGGTGATTGTCCCTATATGAAGCTGTGTGACATCCATACACACAACTCACTCCTAGACTTCAGGTACCTTGGGTCCACTGCTTCTTGGATCATCAGTGCTTGTCAGTACCTGGCTAGCCTATTATATCTCCTTGAAGACTGCATAAACATTTCATTGGCGGAGGCCTGATGAGAGGCAAATTCAGTTCCTATGTTAGAGGTACTCAGAGATCTGCCAAGATATTTTAAAAATGTAAAGTTGTAAAGTGAAGGATCTAAGAGTCGATGGAGAGTATTTTGATGTTGAGAATTTAGAACTGGAAATAAGTGTAGTGTTTGCTAAGCAACCTTCCTATCTGCAGTGGAAGGATCAGGCTGTGTAGGCAAATTGGCTGCACAGAAAGGTAGTTTATGACCAGTAGCAACAGGCAACAGATAGTAGGAGGCCGGGATTCTGAATTCATGAGCTTTTGGTTAGCTAATATTAAAATGTAGAAACAAAGATAAAGGCACAAAATAAAGGAGGGAACTTACCTGTGCCAATCACCTGAGCAGAGGTTGACTTTAACCAAACAATGGTTATTTTATGCCTGGAACTCACAGTGTAAACCAGGCTGGCTTTAAGAAGCAACCAGAACTCTAAGTTCAAATGCAGCAATTGTTTTTTTTTGTCTGTCTTATCTTTACATTTTAATTTTATTATTTATTTGTGTGTGTGCATGTTCACTTACATGCATACACACATGTGTCCAGAAGAGGGCCTCTGATACCCAGAGCTGGAGTTTCAGGCAGCTGTGAGCCACCGTACATGGGTGCTGGGAACTGAACACCACCCTCTGAAAGGGCAGCGAGTGGCCTTAACTGCTAAGCAATCTCTCCATCCCCTGTCTGCTCTTTCAGATCGAGGGAGGCTCTGTGCAGAGACCACTCACTAAGTTAGCTTGTGTTTCTTACAGAACGTGATTTTGAAGGAGTAATCCAGCCGGTCATTCTACCCCGCTGTTAGCGACTCTTAATCTGCTGCTCATACACCAGTGCGCCAATGTGCGTTTTCAGCACAATCCTTGATAAGTTTAAACACATTTACTTCTTTCAGAAGCAGCTGCTAAGTAAAATGCTTCAGACTGTCTCAGTTTATAGGACCCTGAGGAAACTTCACAAGCTCAGTGAAATGCACACAGCCTACTGATGTTGCAGGCAGATATGTCTTTAGGATGACCTGAATTTTCAAATGTGAATGTGGGTAATTGACATTTGTGTTTATTACACCCAAGGAATCTTTGCAATATGGAGGTTGTGAGTGGGACCTGGTAGTATGACAATTAGCAGGTGAATCCTCACAGAGACCAGAGGGAAGGAGAGATTGTAAAAAGGATATATATCTTTTATAGTTCATACTCATGCATATTTTAAAATGCTTACACGATGCTAAACAAAATGCCCAAAGGAAAAAGAAGAAAACATCCTGAAATCCCATGCCTGATTTAGTGTGTTACACCTGCAGGCTGTTTTCTCCATATTTAAGCAACACATAAACAAAAATGAAATCTTACTGCTTTGAAACCAGTTTTTTTCACCTGTCTTAATACTATGAATATATGTTCACATAAACAAAGACAACATATTGATCACATATTGAAAAGCACTTTCTTGGAATCATTGATACCAAACACTGTGTAAAAAATAACCTTAATGCAAAAATATGTTAAATGCTCTGATTTCTGTCAGGTTCCAAAGGTACAGAAGGGATTTAATGGTGGTGGTTTTATTATAATGTTGTGCTATAAGATCAAATTTTCAGGATAATGGTTTGGATAATTTTTTTGGGACTTGTGATTCTAAGTTCATAGCATCACCTCTCAGAAACACATTTATAATCTAGAAATGAGAAACCACTCACTGAGAAGTTTTCCCTTTATTGACACGTTTCATATAATGAGAATAAAGGATTTAGTTCACCAGGAAACAGCACCGTATGAAGCAGTTTAATAAGGTTAGTTTGGTCATGGTATATGGAGCAGGTTGATTAGGTTGTCTAACCTAGAAACTTCTTTAAAATATTTCTTTAGGCTCCAGAAATACAGTTCAATGGTGGGCTACTTGTTTAGTTCAAGCCTCAGCACTAAAACCCGGTCTTTATTGCTTGAAGAAACGATGGATGAATTGAACTTGCACTGTAAGTGCATAAAACTTTCCTGTACTCAGGATGCTGTTATCAAGAAAAATCATTTTGTTTATAATTGAAATAGCCAAATATCAGGGCTGGAGAGATGGCTCAGTCAGTGAGGTGCTTGCCAGAAAGCATGAGGACCTTAGTTTGATCTTCAACAAATACAAAAAAACAAAAACAAAAACAAAAACAAAACACTTGTGTTGATATGTGCTGTAGTCCCAGTGCTGGAGAGGCAGACACAGGCAGATGCCTCACCAGCCAATCTCACCAGATAGGTGAGCCCCAGGTTCTAGTAAGGGAATCTGTCTCAGAAGGAAGCCAAGATGTGCACCATTCAGTTGGTTCAGTGGGTCAAGGCACTTGACACTTGACTAAGTTCTATCCTCAGTTTCCCTAAGGTGGAAAGGGAGAACAGACTAACCCAAAACTGTCTTCCGACCTCTGCTCTTGTGCCTGGCTTATTCGTGCCCACAGACAAGTACACAACATAAATAAGTGGGAATATAATGTTATAAGAAAAACCAAAGTGGATGGCTCCTGAGGTACCACGTACGTTCCTTAGCACACATGCATGTGAACAAACACACACAGAGTAAATATCCAAAAGAAAGAAGAGAAGAAACATAACTGATACATAACACGGAAATAACTATGCTTTATTTGAACTGTGAAAGATTTGCTAGAATTCTTGGTAGAAAATGACAGTGAATAATGACATGAGATTTAAAGTTCTTTTTTTTTTTACCTTAGTGGGTTTGTTGTTCATGAATGTGGTTTTCTTTGTTTTGTTTTGTTTTTGTTTTTTTAACCTAGGATTTCTATTCAGCACAGAGCATATGCCAAATAGTGCTCCAGTTGTTGTTCGTACAAGGATAGGTAATGTGGTTTTAGGAACATGACCTCACTGTTTCTGTATATTTTAAAATTCTTGTTAGACTATTGTAGCTAAACTGTAGTATTTTAGTTGGGGTCCTAGACTCAGCTTATTTACCACATCCTTCCTCCTTAAGCATTAGGACCAAATTGAGAAACAAAGCAAAGATGAATAAAGAAGAAAACATCGTCACAAATAGAGGCTAAATTGGAGCAGAGAAACATGTGAGCATAGGAATCTTATTCCGAAAGGCAACAGGCAGAGGTAAGCCATGCATGACCATTTGTTTTTTCAACACTAATTAGTCGGTTAAGTCATGCCATATCTTAGGGGTGAAATCAGTGAAGAGATGAGAAGGTTTCTGAGAATGTATCTTGGGAAAAATCTTCCTTCACGAGAACCAGGCATGAAGGAGAGAGCAATGTTCCTTATCAGAGGGTACTCAGTAGGGTTTGGTGTGGATTAATTAATGCACACATGCATGAGTGAGTAGATCATCTCTTTCTGGACACAGATGTGTTTAGAAAATAGTCATCTAACTACACTTGAGGTGGCTGGTGGTGCCTGAGGGTCACTGTGTAGTCTGCAACTTCACTTATTCTGGGTAAGACTGGTTGTCTAACTGATGGTTTCTGTGGTCTTTGGGCTAACTCTCACCTGTTAATAACTATCCTGGGGCCTAGAACAAGGTTCAGAATCTCAGGCTCCAGGCTGTACAATTTGGTCTTGTCATGTGGATCAGCTACCATTTTGGGGCTGCTGTTCAGCTTACAGATTCTCAGGTTCTACAGATTTTCTTTAGGTTCCATTTTTTTTTTAGCTCCCAGAAACACTCATTCTTTCTTCCTGAGAAACTGATATTGTTTATCTGCTTTTACCCTTTGAGTATGGGCTTCTTTTTTGTGGGAATGATATTTGTGATATGTGATGCTGAACTTGAATATTATACTCTGTTTGCTTTTCTCTCATCTTCCCTTTGTAAATGAGGGACAATAAGCTTTTCTTTCTTTTTTTTAAATACAGCATTGCTTTTTATTCCCCACATTTTCTATATTTTTATTTAAATTAGAAACAAGCTTGTTTTACATGACAATCACAGTTCCCACGCCCTCCCCTCCTCCCCTGCCCCCTACTAGCTCCTTATCCCATCCCCTTTCTACTCTCCAGGGCGGGTGAGGCCTTCCATGGGGGATCTTCAAAGTCTGTCATATCATTTGGAGCAAGGTCTAGGTCCTCCCCCATGTGTCTAGGCTGAGAAAGTATCTCTGTATGTGGAATGGGCTCCCAAAGTCCATTTCTATCCTAGGACCCCATAGATTATCAAGGTCTCCTCACTGACACCCACATTTAGGGGGTATGGATCGATCCTATGCTGATTTCCCAACTGTCATTCTGGGGACCATGCCGGTATAAGGATGAAATAATCATCTCTTAGCACATACATATAAGTAACTTTATATAGACTGAGCAGGTTATAGAATACATTTGGGAATATGTATCTGTGTATATTTCCAAATAGATACATACACATATATATGTTTTATACATATCACACACACACACACACACACACACACACACACACACATATATATGTATGTATATCAGCAATTAAAGAAACAGGTCATGAAAAAAATGAGTAAGACTAAAAAACACACAGTCTGTGACATTCTGCTATCACCCGACAACAACAAACTTCTGAGAAGTCTCCAGCAGACACAGGGCTGAAACATTTTGAGTGAGTGACATTTTGAAACCATCAAGCAGAGCTAAAGCTAAGAGATTATAGCCACTTGTCAATCATCGTGTTGGGAGGCACTCTTATTAATTTCCAGAGGTTACTGTTGTCATGCCACACAGGTGGGAATGCCAAGGAGTTGGCAAGAGGAGATGAGAAAAGAGGAGTTGGTGCTGGAGACTTAGTGAAGGCAGTTTTCATTGTTGGAGAGTCTTTAGTCTTCTATTTATGATTAAATATCCTTTAACTTAATCCTCATAATTAAGTAGTCAGTATTTATCTTCTAATTTAATCATGAAGAAATTGTAAATTATAGAGGATTGTTAATTTTCTGTAGGTCATTCTCATCTGAGAACTGAGATTCTTAACTTCATTTGCTTGGCTTTTTGGAAGTGGAACTTTCTCACTGACATTTGGTTAAGTATGAATATAAACTGGGAGTTTGTTCCTGCCTATCTGTGCTTCCAGGTGCTCTAGATGCTACCAGTTAATAAGAAGCAAGTCTGCAGCTTCTTTCCTTTTCCCCTCTAGATGTAAGTGTCAAAGTTGTGCCCTTTGGGATACCTTCCCTTGGTGGACATCATTATGGTTCACAGGATTTCACTTGGCAGGATTTTTCATTGATCGTCTACTTGGGCAGCTTTAGATACTCAGGGAGGAGGTTTCCAGGTTAGTTCCAGGTCAATTCCTCCAAGTCCTGTGTTCAAAGTGGGTGGTGTCTTCAGCAGTAGGGTCTTAGATTCAAGTTGCAAGAGGCAAACAAGGGCCATGGCAATAGCCTGTATTGATTCAGGAGTCTTCCTTATTTCATGCGAGCTAACTACTCCCAGGAAGCATATATCTAGGCTGTCCTTCAGCATTTAGGACACAGCCTGGTAAACCTGCCAAATTCTGGGTCAGTCTCAAGAATTCTTACATAGCCAGACCCTGAATATCATTCAAATATTAATGAGATAAGTTTCAAGAGTAATTGATTTTTCACTCATCTATTTTTTTAATCAGATATTTCAGAGGTAAGGGGGAGGGAGGAAGGATTTGTTTTTTTTACTCTAAATTGTATTCCTTTCCCTGTTTACATGCTAAAATAAAATTAAGTATGCAGTGAATTAAAGAGAAACAGAAGACAGTAAATAGTAGGCAAAAAGTTGAAAAGAGAAAGAAAAATAAACAGCTTGGCATAGTAATTAGTGTTCATGACAACAATTTTGGGTCACTGGGAAAAACTGGATTATGCCTGACAGCATTTCTTTACCTAAACTAGGAAAGAATGTGTATATATTTAAAAGATTTAACTTTTGATAAGGAAAATACTGTACTTATATTAGGGTAATCACAAAGGAATCTCAGTAACAATACTTGAATGTAGATAGACAGAAGGGATTGTAGACCTCTTAAGAGTACATCATCTTGGGATGTAATGCATAAGAGAATAATAATAAAAAAGAGTACACAACATTTTTGTGGCTGGAGAGATGGTTCAGCAGTTAAGAGTGATACTGCTTGGGACATGAGTTTGATCCCCAGCACCCTGTAATGATGGCTCACAACTCTCTGTAACTCCAGTTCCATGGGATCTGATGTGCTCCTCCCGTTCAAGCACCAAGCACCCACATGCATACGTGTAGGCAAAACACTCATAGGCATAAAAAATAAAATTTAAAGAGTATGGAATCTTTAAAAATTCTACTACACCGTTTGCATTTCCTTATTCTACTTCAATTTGCCTTGTTAGGATTAAGTTTTAAAAACAGTAATTAGTAAAGTCACAATTTTAAAAATAACTTGAACAATCTCTTTTTTGATAACTTCATTAATGTATATAATGTATATTGAACATATTCACACTTAGTCCTGTTGAGTGAAGCCATTTCCTTGTCAGCTGCTTTGGTTTTTCTCCACCAGTTGCCTGGACTCTGCTGTGTTATAGTCCCCAAATAACACACAAGACACTGTATTAGTTATGAAGCTGTTGGCCTTCCTTGTTTCTTACTGGCTAGCTCTGACTTAAGCATTTACTACATAATTGTTAATCTAAGTATTTCTCTTACCGGAGAAAGGGTCTGGACTTCTTACCCCTATGGCGGTTACATCTTGACTCCCTGTGTTTCTCCTACCCAGAATCCTCCTGGACTCCTAGTCCCACCTATCTTGCTTCCCTATTGGCCAACAGTGCTTTATTGACATATATACAGGACTTCCCCATCATAGTCCCCTCTCTTATACACCTCTAAAATGGATTTAAGTATCTTGTACACATGATGAATCAGCTGTATTTTTTAATGAGAAAGATGTAAGCCATTCATTTGGGCTTAAATTAAGCTGAATCACAGGAACCAAATTTATCAGCTGTTAGTTATGATCAGCTAAGCTTATGATGCTGAACAAACAATGTTCACTTCATTGCTGAGCACAAGCGTTTTAGTTGGCATTACAGATAGGAAAAGGAAATGTATTTGGTCTGGACGTCTTTAGGAGAAGGTATGAAGGTGTGGGATTCTCAATGGGAGATACTTTGCTGATAGATTTTACGCGGCCTGGCTCTGTGAATCCTGGTGGCGAACAGATTGGGAGAGGCTAGCATTATACTGATAACATTATCAACAGACAAAAATATATGAAGCAAACTGTCAATTTATTATTTCACAGGGTGGTAGGGGAATGTGAAGAGGAATATTCATAACTTTATCCAGGGTACATTTTTTTTGTAGCCCATGAGGCCAGATTAATTATTTAAAGGTCGTTGGGTCAGCATGGAATTAAAGCCAAGAGAATAATGAGGGTTTTGACCAATATAGGGTTGGGCCTCTTGAGTCTTTTGAGCAGAGACAATAGTATAAGATGCTGTTACTAATTATTCAGCCAGGTCCCTTCAAAATGCCTCAGTCCTATTAATTTATTAAATTCTGTAAACCCACGAGAAAGCATTCTCTGAGATAGCCTTTCCTTTAAGTAAATGAGAATATATAGAAGAAATCAGATGTAAGAAACTCTCCCAAGTTTACAAGGATGAGGAGTTGTAGGAATTGAATATGAAGTCAAATGATTGGAACCCAAAGCTTCAAGAATCCAGGATACTCGGCACTTCCTCTAGGGTCATGCGACTTGAACACTGCTGGGTTCTACTTCTTCCCCCTTTCAAGTTCCAAGTTCTCCATTGCAGTTTTGTTTTTCAAAAAATCTGCCATCAGATAAATTACAACCCTGTAAATTGTTTACTTGCGTTACCTGGCAGTCGCATTTACATCCATTTACACAAACATTGCATCCAGCCTGTGTGAATTATAGGGTTAAATGATTGTAAATTCTCTGGTCAGCCAATTATACACATTTGTATTGCTCTCAATAATTTTACACTGTCTTCCAAATTATTTCTGTCTGATTGTACATGACTTTTACCAGTTTTGATGTAACCTCATTATTGTTATTTTTTTATAGTGTGTGTGTGTGTGTGTGTGTGTGTGTGTTATGGGGGTGTTGTGTGCCTCTATGCATGTTTATAGGTGTGTGGGTTCATGTGGAGACCAGA